AAGGGCCTGTTTATAGATACATTTTTTGTTTTTGTTATTATTAATTTTTTGTTAGTTAGAAAATAGTTGCTTCAGTTTTAGCCACTTGAATTTTCAAATTTTTTTTTTTATTCTCATCAAATGAATAGTATCTAGAAAAGTATATTGCAATTGATTTATTGGAAAATATATTTTAAATCTGTTATTTTTTTATTTTATTTTTTGTATTTCATTTTGTAAAGAAAAGAATTATATATTTTTTTGTGGCTAAAATAGCCAAAAAAGCCCAAACCATGGCTTCCCAAACGAAACCTTTGTTAGTTAGAAAATAGTTGCTTCAGTTTTAGCCACTTGAATTTTCAAATTTTTTTTTTTATTCTCATCAAATGAATAGTGTCTAGAAAAGTATATTGCAATTGATTTATTGGAAAATATATTTTAAATCTGTTATTTTTTTATTTTATTTTTTGTATTTCATTTTGTAAAGAAAAGAATTATATATTTTTATTGTAAAAGTAAATAATGAAACCATAATTTAACTTAATTTATCATAAAAAGTGTATTTTTTTTCACTTGAACCATATCATTTTTCCCCGCATTCAAGCAAAAAAGGGTGATTACTAAAATTTTTTATAGCAATCACACTTTAACCTAATTTTCCCAATAAATTACATTTTGGTCTAATTATTTAAATTTTTAAATAAAAAAACCTAAATGGGCCAAAGTCCTAGCTTTAGAGTGACAAAATTATCCAACTCGATTATATTTATTTCAATTCGATTTTAATAAAAGAAGTATGTGAGAGCATTGATAAAGTAGGGTAAAGTATATCACCAAGGATCCTCTAGAGTGTTTTGTGTTTTTTTCCTAAAGTTTCCTAAAGTGGTGTATTGTGTGGTTGAGATTTAATATAAAGTAAAATACAAAATTATATTATTAAAATAGTTAAGTTTAAAACATAGAATTATCGTGCAAATTCTGAAACCCGACCCGGTTAACATCCATACCCGGCCCCTTCTTCATAAATTTGAACCCGTGCATTAGGTGGAAATCGAATTAATACGACGTCGTGGCGTAGAGAATCACAGATTTGCTCTGAAGGTGCCAGCATAAATTTGCCTCCGCTCCCAAATCTTTGACAAGTGCCTGATCACTCCAACACCGCTCACCGAAAACTCTCTCTCTCTCTCTCTCTCTCATGCAAAGCAAAAGCACTCTCATAAACCACAAACCCTAGCCAGTCCAAGCATTCCGCCCAAAGTTATACATTGGTATAATCTTCCATCTCAGAGTTTCAAAGTGAGCTCTTCTTCAATTCATTTATTTGAATTTCATATATCTGAATAGATTGCCATTGAATTTCAAGTCCAGTCACAATGTTTGATGTTGATTGATAATCGCTAGCTACAACTTTAAAAGGATTAATCACTTCCTATCACTATATATACCAGCAAAAGATTGGTGTATAATAATTTCATTGTTCTTTGACATGATTATTTTATAAAACCATCATTTGATTCTGTGTAGTAAAGCTCTGGGATTAACAACCACATGATTCAAAGTGATCCTACACTTCACAGAAACTATGTGTGTGTCCATTGACATGATATCCATGTTATAGTTACATGAGCCTGTGATTTTATTCATAGAAAGAATAATGGTTTGTAGGTGGGGTTGTGCTATGCGTATCTATATGAATTGGTTTAATCCACAAATGTAGCAAGAAGAACAACCCAGATCGTTTTAAAATTTGATCAATTGTATAGTTTTACTCATTTTCTTTTTAGGGTTTTAACTCCTACAGTGAAGATCATTAATTAATATTTCAGAGTTGATTTCCTGGTAATTTACCAAGTTAAGATCCTTTTAGTATCTTTGTTAGAACGTGGTTGTGTATACATGGATATGTAGATGTTTATTTTCTCTGATAGCAGTTACGAAGAATGGAGCGGTTAGGGTTCTTATGCATTCTATATGAATGATGTTGAACTGAGAATTGCTAGTTCAATGTAACTGTTGAATTTCAGTGGAATTCTTACTTTCACACCTCGCCCAAATGGCCAAGCGCACATATATGGTAGAATGAGATGATCAACGGAAAAAAGGAAATAGGCTGGATTAAGACTTAAGTTGGTCAGTAATGGTATGATTATACTAATTATATTTTTGGGTCACACAGGCGTTTAATTGGTGACTATTTTGTAGGTTTTAATTTGGAGGATATTCAATATAATGCTGGACACTGCATTTTAGCATTATTTTGAACTGTCGATACAACAATTGCTTAGAGAAGTGAGTTAAGACTTTCAATGGTATGTTCTGCCTTTTCAGTATAGATGTAAACTACTGAACCTTATTTATTTATCTATTTTCTTTCTGTATGCAATAATGGGTTTTCTTCAACACTCATTGAACTGTTATGGTCTATATTAAAATGTTTGTTAGCACCAATCCTCTTGCCTCTATGTCAAATGTTTGACTTTATCAGGGAAATATGTATATGACTGCATTGTCCTGCACTTATGGCTTTTCGATTCTCCATATGCATTGACAAAATTTCTAGTAGCACAGGATCCAAAGCTGTAATGTTGTAATTAGGGGGTTGGTTAACCAATATACATTTTTAAAAAACAAGGGCTTTTTTACACTTTATTCCCAAACTATGTGAAAGCTTTGTTGCTAAACATGTTTTTTGAAAGCATGTTTAGCAATTATGCTTTTAAATTTCCTTGTTTTGAAGTTAGATTTAGAGTAGAAGTTTGTTAATATGAAATGTATTGAAAATATGGATGCTAACAATCCTTTTTTTTATTGAAATTGTTGTTACCAATCACATTGTCACAAGAGTTTGAGTAACATAGGAAAAGTTGAGGCCTTTCATTGCGTTGCACGGGCCTCTCTTGATCTGGCCTCCTTCCATCACTAGAACTATCACTTTCTCCTCTAGATGGTTGATTTAATTCATTCTCAACCTCCCTACCACGATCAAATTCATGCTCACTTTCATTCCTACAGTTTCGGTTATAGTTGCTTGCATAACCGTGTAAGGTTCTGAATTTGTTCCTGCAGTGCTTGAACAATTTCAACTATTACGTCTACCTCTACAACTACGATTTCCTCTTCTACCGCTTCCACCCCTTCCACTTCTTGCAGCCATGGTTTTAGCAACTTTAAATATTTTAAACACAAATGACAAGCAACCCCAAGGAAGGGATTTGCTCTGATACCAAATTGATGCAAATAGGGGCAACAAAAACAAGAAACTCTTACAGAAGGCAGCAAATAAGCAAACATATGCAACAAACAAGAAACTCTTACATAAAAACAACGCCCAATTAATACACATTAATGTGTGTTTGGGAGGGATAGATTGAGTAAACACCTAACTTTTGGCATAATACACAAAGTGGTGACCATGGGTTCAATTGTTAAGAACCTTAAATTAATTGATTATAATTGTGACATTGCTAATATTGAATGTAAAGTAGTCAAAAGGGAAAATCACTGCAATCACAAATAGGATCAAATAATCCTACACTAATGATACATTAATCATAAAATGCCCGTTGAAATGAAAATTAAACACAAATTCCCCAATGAACAAGATGTATCTAAATTTGATAATGAAACTGATTCTTTGGCATTATAAATTGAAGGACACATACTTGAACATTGCTTCAATTAGCCTTTTGGCCACGGGATTGATTACAATTCGATCTTTTGCAAGACAAAGATTTGTGATTAGCCAATTCTTCCTTGATTAAGCTTCCAATTTTTATTTTTCTTGCTTTCTCTGCTATTCGATTAGGCAAATGCCTTCTATATCCTTCCATTTTTTCTTGCCTCGTGTTTTTGCTCAATGCATGTAACCCTAGGAACCAATTGTCATGGATGCGAAAAAGATCTAACCTTTAAGTTTAATATCAACAAAAAAGGGTGATTACTAATAATTTTTGTAGCAATCACACTTTAATTTTTCACTTGAACGATATCATTTTTCCCCAAGTGATGGCATTCAAGCAAAAAAGGGTGATTACTAATAATTTTTATAGCAATCACACTTTAACTTAATTTTCCCAATAAATTACATTTTGGTTTAATTATTTAAATTTTTAAATAAAAAAACCTAAATGGGTCAAAGTCCTAGCTTTAGAGATGACAAAATTATCCGACTCAATTATATTTATTCCAATTTGATTTTAATAAAAGAAGTATGTGAGAGCATTGATAAGGTAGAGTAAAGCATATAAATAGATAAGTCAAAATTGCCAAAATAAGATAAAATACAAAATTATATTATTAAAATAGTTGAGTTTAAAACATAGAATTATTGTGCAAAATTTGAAAACCCGACCCGGTTACCATCAATACCCGACCTTTCTTCATAAACTTGAACCCGTGCATTATATCGAAGGAAGGAAAGTGAATTAATACGACGTCGTGGTGTAGAGAATCACAGATTTGCTCTAAAGGTGCCAGCATAAATTTGCCTCCGCTCCCAAATTTTTGACAAGTGCCTGATCACTCCAACACCGCTCACCGAAAACTCTCTCTTTCTCTCTCATGCAAAGCAAAAGCACTCTCATAAACCACAAACCCTAGCCAGTCCCAGCATTCCGCCCAAAGTTATTCGAAGTGAGCTCTTTTCCAATTCATTTATTTGAATTTCATATATCTGAATCGATTGCCATTGAATTTCAAGTCCAGTCACAATGTTTTATGTTGATTGATAATCACTAGCTAGAACTTTAAAAGGATTAATCACTTCCTATCACTATATATATATCAGCGAAAGATTGGTGTATAATAATTTCGTTGTTCTTTGACATGATTATTTTATAAAACCATCATTTGATTCTGTGTAGTAAAGCTCTGGAATTAACAACTACATGATTCAAAGTGATCCTACACTTCACAGAAACTATGTGTGTATCCATTGACATGATATCCATGTTACAGTTACATGAGCCTGTGATTTTATTCATAGAAACAACAATGGTTTGTAGGTGGGGTTGTGCTATGCGTATCTATATGAAATGGTTTAATCTACAAATGTAGCAAGAAGAACAACCCAGATCGTTTTAAAATTTGATCAATTGTATGGTTTTACTCATTTTCTTTTTAGGGTTTTAACTGCTACAGCGAAGATCATTAATTAATATTTCAGAGTTGATTTCCTGGTAATTTACTAGGTTAAGATCCTTTTAGTATCTTTGTTAGTTCGTGATTGTGTATACATGGATATGTAGATGTTTATGTAGAAATTTAATGTATAAAGAGAAATAGAGAATTGTATAGATATTGATTGTATTATTGATTGATGTATATTGTGTTATCTATTACAAATGGTGAGGGGCTCCTTATATAGGAGATGTAGTGGAGTAGGTGGTAGTAGGTGGTAGTGGTAGGTGTGTAGTAGGTGGTGGTAGGTGTAGTAGGTGGAGTAGGTGATGCTAGGTTTTAACAGCCCCCCGCAAACTCAAGGGGGATAGGAATTAACCAACTTGAGTTTGGAGAGAGTAACAAAACAAGAAAATAATCTGAAAAATAAAAAATGGATAGGAGACACTGTATGGTCGTGTCAGACCGTTGTAGAAGACTGTATGGTTATGGCAGACCGATGTAGAAGACAAACAAAGGTGCAGCCATAGTTGTCAAATCGTGAATCGAAATGGTCTTGTACCGAATTGCGAATCAAATCGAATCATGAATCGTAAAGATTCGGTCACTTTTTTTAAATTACTTCAAAAAATTTATCTATATGCTTGGATGTTAAATATATCTTATAAATATAAAATATTTAGACTTAAATCAATGAAATAGTGTTTTGAATGATGATTACATGGTCTAAAAGGTAAAAAGTTAACACAGGTTCCTATGTAAGATCACCATCATACATTTTTCTTTTTTTTGATATTGCTCATCAACCATTCTTAATAAAGAAAATAAACAAAGACAAACTCTCAATTTTTAAGTAACAATAACTTATCACCGATATTGATATTTCATAATAAGCATACATCCTTATTTTCTACTTCAATATTACCCCACCCATGGAATATTGAAATGTATTTATTTCAATAAAATAACAATAGATAATTTACATTGCAAGTTACTTTAACCTTGAACATCTTTAAAAGATGCATCATGCATCATAATTTCTTTTAAGGAAAAAAAAATAAGAAGGGTTAAAAACATATTAGGTATGACTGAATTTGATTTGATCCTATTGAAAACTCCTGATTTCCGAAATAACAACAAATCATGTATAGATGTTGGTTATTTTTGTACTAAACATTATTAGAAGTTGTATTATGTCAGCAAAAAAATGAATCAAAATATGTCAGTCATGATAGTTTTAAGAATTGCATAAGTCGTAAAAAGTAAATCGATTTGTGAATCAATAGTGAATCATGCGATTTAGTAGCGATTCACTTCAAAATAGATTCACCCATAGATTCGTATCGATTTTCCAAAAAATGCGAATCGAATAGTGAATCGAATCGCAAATCGTAAGATTCTGATAACAAATGGTGCAGTTTGTTCAGAAAATCAGGAAGAATTGCAGATTAAACCAGCCAGAGGCAGTAAAAGAGAGACAAAACTCCAATATGTTAAGTGAAATAAATATACATGTATTTGGAAGATTGTATATGGTGCCGAGCTAAAGTGCCATAAACATATCATGAACAAACAGAGAAATGGCGAACATTAAGTCTTACATCATCTACACCAGGAACTTTAGGAGGTGCAAATTTTGTGTGGTAGGACCGACCACTCGAAGGGTGGATCCAGCGACCAGTAATCCTCTCCTCCAAGATTGCATCATCAATTGCAAAGTTGAGGACCTTATCAACCTTAGCCCCATGTTTTTCAAGCATCTCATCAAGCTGCATAGAATGAAAACAAAGGCATGGTTTGGAACACACAAGTATGAAAACATAATGAGAAAAGAAAAAATATGGCAATCAAAGAAATTAATCCAATATCCATATCTCAAACTAAGGCAAGACCTTCTGTGCTTGGACCACAGTCCTTGGAAATCCATCAAGGATGAAACCCTTTTGACACGAAGGCTTTTTCAAAGCTTCATCGATTATCCCAACAACTAAGTCATCGGAAACAAGTTCTCCCTTGTCCATAGCCTCTTTGGCCATAATCCCAAGAGGAGTTTTAGCAGCAACAGCAGCCCTTAGCATATCACCAGTAGCCAAGTGGCATAAGCAGTACTCATCCTTAATAATTGGTGATTGGGTACCTTTTCCAGATCCAGGTGGGCCGACGAGAATGAGGCGTTTGTCTGGTTTGGTAGAACACTTCATGCGACGCAAGAGCTCGGTCATGAGATCTACTGAAGGAATGTCCTCCAAACTCGCCATTGTCGACCTTCCTAGGGTTTCTCTCTCTCTACGTGTACTATGATACCATGTATTTTTTTTTTTTTTTTTTTTTTTCCAGAACTGTGTTTTTCTCTCCCTTTAGAGACTGAACTAAACTGTAGTAGAAAGAAAAGGTTGAGAAGGTGGTGTAGAGAGAAACCGAAGAGAGAGTTGCCGAGAGAGACAGGTTGCCCTCTTCATCTCAGAGAGAGTTTATGCATGTTGTGTGTGTGTGTGGCTACTGTCTGTCTGTGGAGAGAGACCCAGCTAGAGAGAGATGAGAATGGTTGATCTTTGTATGTAGAGAAGTCGCCTCTGGTGGCGGCGAACTGGAAGCTATATGTATTGATAGAGATGACAGCGGAATAGGTTGAGGTCCGACGGGCGGCTAAGGTGAGGTTGCCACCCGCCGGGGAAGCGAAAATACTAGGTTCTAAACCTGCTCTGATACCATGTAGAAATTTAATGTATAAAGAGAAACAGAGAATTGTATAGATATTGATTGTATTATTGATTGATGTATATTGTGTTATCTATTACAAATGGTGAGGGGCTCCTTATATAGGAGATGTAGTGGAGTAGGTGGTAGTATGTGGTAGTGGTAGGTGTGTAGTAGGTGGTAGTAGGTGGTGGTAGGTGTAATAGGTGGAGTAGGTGATGGTAGGTTTTAACAGTTTATTTTCTCTGATAGCAGTTACGAAGAATGGAGTGGTTAGGGTTCTTATGCATTCTATATGAACTATGTCGAATTGAGAACTACTAGTTCGATGTAACTGTTGAATTTCAGTGGAATTCTTACGTTCACACCTCCACCACATGGCCAAGCGCATATATATGGTAGAATGAGATGCTCTACAGAAAAAAGGAAATACGCTGGATTAAGACTTAAGTTGGTCAATAATGGTATGATTATACTAATTATATTTTAGGGTCACACATGCATTTAATTGCCGACTATTTTGTAGGTTTTAATTTCGAGGACTTTCAATATAATGCCGGACACTGGATTTTAACTGTCGATACAACAATTGCTTAGAGAAGTGAGTTAAGACTTTCAATGGTATGTTCTGCCTTTTCAGTATAGATGTAAACTACTGAACCTTATTTATTTATTTTATTTATGTTTACAATAATTGTTTTTCTTCAAAACTCATTGAACTGTTATGGTCTATATTAAATGTTTGTTAGCATCAATCCTCTTGCCTCTATTTCAAATGTTTGACTTTATATGGGAAATATGTATATAACTGCATTGTCCTGCACTTATGGCTTTTAGATTCTCCATATGCATTGACAAAATTTCTGGTAGCACAGGATTCAAAACTGTAATGTTGTAATTAGGGGGTTGGTTAACCAATATACATTTAAAAATATACATTTTTAAAAAACAAGGGCCTTTTTACACTTTATTCCCAAACTATGTGAAAGCTTTGTTGCTAAACACGTTTTTTGAAAGCATTAAATTTCCTTGTTTTGTAGTTAGATTTAGAGTAGAAGTTTGTTAATAAGAAATGTATTGAAAATATGGTTGCTAACAATCCTTTTTTTATTGAAATTGTTGTTACCAATCACATTTTTTTTATTGAAATTGTTGTTACCAATCACATTTTCACAAGAGTTTAAGTAATATAGGAAAAATTAAGGCATTTCATTGCGTTGCACAGGCCTCTCTTGATCTGGCCTCCTTCCATCACTAGAACTATCACTTTCTCCTCCAGATGGTTGATTTAATTCTTTCTCAACCTCCCTACCACTGTCAGATTCATGCTCACTTTCATTCCTACAGTTTCGGTCATAGTTGCTTGCATAACCGTGTAAGGTTCTGAATTTGTTCCTGCAGTGCTTGAACCATTTCAACTATTACATATCTACCTCTACGACCACGATTTCCTCTTCCACCCCTTCCACCTCTTGCAACCATGTTTATAGCAACTTTAAATATTTTAAACACAAATGGCAAGCAACCCCAAGGAAGGGATTTGCTCTGATACCAAATTGATGCAAATAGGGGCAACATAAACAAGAAACTCTTACAGATGGCAGCAAATAGGCGAACATATGCAACAAACACGAAACTCTTACAGAAGATACCTGAATTTGGTAGTATTCCAGATCTAGACAACAAGGAAAATAGTGGCTTAACTGCTAGCCTCTTCACCTATAGAGTAGCGATAGAGGGATTGGTAGGTGCTACGGGGTTGAATCCTCAAACCCTAGCCTCCAAATATTTAAAAGCCTAGCTGGTTTGAGAGCTCTGAGCTGAGATCTATATTTTTCTTCAGCAAAAATCCCCTTTCTCTACATATCACTCTCCTTTTATAGAAAGTCAAGAGACTTCTTCGGGAAGCTGACTCAAAACTTGCAAATAAACCTCCCAAAAATATAAAATATATGTCTAACACTCTCAAAACGTTACTTATCCAACAAAAATACACAAAAGTCCCAAAAAAGATCCTCACACAGTTTTATACTTAAGGCTCAACACCTTAAAATGACAAAAAAAAAAACCCTTCACCAAAGATAGCCATAATTATTATGCTATACACATATTTATATGGTTTGCATCAGCATGTAACCCTAGGAACCAATTGGCAGTATGTATTGATATACAAGGATGATCCCAATAATTTACTCTCACCATTTTATGAAGTTTTTTTATTTTTATTTTTATTTTTTTTCTTTTCTCCCTGATTAATAGGTCATGCATTACGATAAAAAAAAATCTCATGTATTGAGTTCTGCATTCTTTAACTTTTTGTTGATAGATGTTTCTTAAAACTGCAGCAAGCATGCTTGTCTGAATTGTTATACAACAATAACCTCAATAGTTTACTCAATAAGGAGCAATCTAGGGAAGAAAGTAATAAGTTGCATAGACATCTCAAGTCAGATTAAGAAGCTCATCTTTGCTGTGCTAGTCCAATTTTCATGCTTTTAACTGTTGTATAATCACCCTCACCTAATTAACCTCAAGTAATTAAATTACAACTTTTGCTTAAATTGGAAATAATTAACATCATTTGACACTATAAGTAAGTTAATAAAGTTGTAGTTTATATAATTACCTTTTCAATTAAAACAAACTACAGCAAAATGAAAAGGCAAAATATTAACCCCTTTATTGCTCCAAATTAAAGTTTTCCTACAAGTAAACAAATTGAACATCAAGGGCAAGCAAATCATAATACAAATAGGAACCTTAAATTAATTGATTATAATTGTGACATTGCTGATATTGAATTTATAGTAGTCAAAAAAGGAAAATCACTGCAATCACAAATAGGATCAAATAATCCTACACCAGTGATACATTAATCATAAAATGCCCATTGAAATGAAAATTAAGCACAAATTCTCCAATGAACAAGATTTATCTAAATTTTATAATGAACCTGATTCTTTGGCATTATAAATCGAATGACACATACTTGAACATTGCTTCGATTAGCCTTTTGGCCACGGGACTGATTACAATTTGATCTTTTGCAAGACAAAGATTTGTGATTGACCAATTCGTCCTTGATTAAGTTTCCAATTTTTATTTTTCTTGCTTTCTTTGCTATTTGATCAAGCAAATATGCCTTTTACATCCTTCCATTTTTCCTTGCCTCTTGTTTTTCCTCAATGCATGTAACCCTAGGAACCAATTGTCATGAATGCAAAAAAGATCTAACCTTTAAGTTTAATATCAACGGAGAGTCTTTGTTGTAATGCGTTTTACCCTTTAAACCTTACTTTCTTCCAAGTATTCGACAGCTCAGTGATGATCTGGAGAATCGTTTTAAACATCCCCTCCCCCCCCCAAAAAAAAACCCCTCTTTGTAAGCAAAATTACAATTGGCTCAGCATGTCATGACATTTATAAGACTTTTCTTGTTCACTGAAGAGTTTTTGTTGAAATGGGTTTATGCCTAAATTGTACGGACACAACACGGACACGTCAACACACCAATTTTCAAAAAATGGAAAACTCGACAGGTGGGAGACATGTACAAAATATATAATTTTATATATTTATTATATGGTATATATATGAATATATCATTCAAAAATAATAAAAAAATTTAATAATAACACAAATTTTTATAAATTTATATTGTTTTTCTTTTATTATTAGATAAGTTATTTTGTTTAAACTAATAATTAATTTCATGTATCTAATCAATGGATACGTGTGTTTAAGCAATATATGTTTGTGTCCTCCAAGTGTCCGGATCTATTTTTTTTTTATAAAAAAAAAAAAAGGACACATTTTGATGAGGGTTGGACAAATGTCAAGTGTCGGACAAATGTCGGGAATTATCCAACACGTGTCGGTGACCGACACGGACAAGACACGGACACGCCACCTTCTTAGAAGTATCTATGTTTCTTAGGTTTATACCCAACAAATCTTATTTTCTTGGAGAATTCAACAACTCAATGATGATCTGGAATCCTAGTGTGTCAAGACATTTATGAGGCTTTTTTTGTTCACCAAAAGGTTTTAAATGAAAATTGTTCCTTATTTTAAGTGCTTATAAGGGTTTTCTCCTCAAAGGGAAAATGCCCCCTCTCAACCCCCTCCTTGGTCTCTTGATTGAGAATCTATGCTTGTAAACCCTAAACTAAAATAATAAAGAATAAGTACCACAAAATAAGCCGATCTATGAAAATACAAATAACACCACAACAATAGAGAATCATGGCCTTATAGTTTCCTGCATAAGCCCAACAGGCCTTCATATGATATTCAATTTAAGATCTACCAACAAGATAACTAAAATGCATAAGACACGCAAAAAGGCACATTACCGTCTAAATGCAAGATATAAAATATATCGATTAAAGTATAACCATACATGTGTCCACTTCAAACTACAAGTGGAGAAATAGAAATTTATCCAATAAAAATATTTAGGTCACCAATTTTTATCTTCAATTAGACAATGTTCAACCAGGGCCTTTGGCTAATGGTTGTGTAATATTTTATGTATTATTGATTGATGTATTGTGTTGTGTATATTACAAATGGTGAGTGGCTCATTATATAGGAGAGGGTGAGCGTAGTAGGTGAGGAGTAGGTGAGGAGTAGGTGATGGTAGGTGATGGTAAATTGGTGGTAGGTGATGGTAAATTTTAACAGCCCCCCGCAAACTCAAGGAGGATAGAAACTAACCAACTTGAGTTTGGAGAGAGTAACAAAACAAGAAAATACATAAAAATAAAAAAGGATAGGAGACACTGTATGGTCGTGTCAGACCATTGGTGAAGACACTGGATGGTGGTGTCATAACGTTGTAGAGGACAATCGACCTCAAAAGGGAAATACCCAACAGGAAGTTCGTAGCCAACCCATCCAGTCTTGAAACCCAAATATCCACCCGCTATAATGACAAAGAGCATGGCACACTGCCCATTGCATCCCATGGCTAGTGTTTGGTTCTGAAAGAGAGAGTGTGGGTTTGGTGTAGGTGACCAAGATGGATGATGGTGATGATGCTCTGATCTTGAAGGTGACCAAGATGGCAGCGGAGTCAAGGTATGTGTAGAGAATTTTAGCGGACTAGGTTGAGGTCCGGCGGGCAGCCAAGGCGAAGTTACCGCCCGTCGGTGAAGCAAAAATATTAGGTTCTAAACCTGCTCTGATACCATGTAATATTTTATGTATTATTGATTGATGTATTGTGTTGTGTATATTACAAATGGTGAGTGGCTCATTATATAGGAGAGGGTGAGTGTAGTAGGTGAGGAGTAGGTGAGGAGTAGGTGGTGGTAGGTGATGGTAAATTGGTGGTAGGTGATGGTAAATTTTAACAGGTTGTGTAGCACCACTTTGTGGTGTGAGGTTGCAAGTTCAATACCTATGGAGAGGAGTTTCATGTGGTGTTTATTTCTCCCCCATTATGGGAATTGTATGTAGTTTATTTCTTCCCAAATTTGAGCTATTTCTTGTGGTGGTGGTTGTTGGGCGTGGTGACTATTTAGTGGTGGACTTTAATTGTCCAGTTGATGTAATGTTTCCTATATTTGTAATTAATCTCTTACTAATTGATAACAATAAAAAAAAGGGACAATTTTCATAAATATATCATACTAAGGGTAAAATTTATGGTGTCTTGAAAAAGAAACAGACAAGGAGATAAGGTACACCCGAAAAACCCAACAATTCAAGCGAAAAATTATATTTAGTGTACAAGATTATGATATTACACACCCTAATTAGACCGAATGGCATCATTGTATAGCACTGTAGCTATTTACCAAATGGAGTTCTAAAGGACGTGTGCCTTTCGTCATCTTGTTACAATTAATACCTTCTTTTAACCTCAAAAAATGAGAGGCCATTTCAACTTACTTCCCAAACTATGTGAAAGCTTAGCATGTAAACTGGTTTTTCTTGAAAGCATGTTAAGTAACTATGCTTTCTGACGGCGATATGGAACCAAAAGCTTTTTGAGATTGGGTAGATAGTATTGAAAATTACTTTGATTGGAAAGAGTTTAGTGGCATAAAACGGGAGCGGGAGCGTGGCCACTTAGAAGAGTTGTAGTTTTTTTTATGATGACCGGGTGTCTGGGCCAACTTATGTGCATTGAAGAAGAGTTGTTGGTTGGGAGCGCTTATATATTATTTTTATGGATAAAAGACAGTTTTATTCTCTAAAGTATGCGTTGTTTTTTATTTTGTCATTTTGGTCCTCAAAGTTGTCAATTTCAGCCAATTTAATCCTAGCTCAAATTGACAATTTTGAGGACCAAAATGACAAAATTTAAAACATGAGGGACTAAAATGACAAGAAACTTATACTTTAGGAACCAAAATTGTCTTTTATCCAAGGATAAAATATTTTTCCGGTTACCAATGTAAATAGACATTAGAGATAGGACTAAATTGACAATTTTAAGGACTAAAATGACAAAATTGAAACTTGAGGGGACTAAAATGACAAAGAACGCATATTTTAAGGACTAAAATTGTCTTATCCTATTTTTATTGATAATATGTTTAATTTATCTATATAAACCTTTTTTTTTAAATATATATATATGTTATAAATAATTTAAATTTTTTTTTTTCATATATAAATACATTTAAAAAACAACTATTTAATATGGCCTCTACTTTTTTCATTAATAACATATATGTATGTGTGTGTGTGGGAGAGAATTAAAACTAAAAAAAGTTATCCCAACATTTTTTGTATAAATATGATGAAACGTATGATGAGCCATATAATAACCCGTGTTATTAATAATTTAATAGAGTTGTTGACTAGATACAAAGCACTAGAAGGCCTAAGTTTTTATTGGTGAACAAAGTTTATAAATAGGTCTGAATTTTTTATTTATTTATTTGGACCCAACTCATTGGGTCCCGTTTGTTTTCAGAGGTAGAATGGATGTGATTGATAGTGAGGGGATTGTTAGTGAGGGGATTAAGTAAAATTATGTTTGTTTTGATGATAGTTGTTAGTGTAGGAATTGTTAAATTATCTTTATATAAAATAAATATAAAATAATAAAACAAATACAAAAACATTAAACATTAATGTTTTTAAAAAAATACCCAACATGTAAAAAATTTTAAAAAAATAAAAATAAAATAAAAAAAATTTCAGAAAAAAGAAAATAAATAAAATAATGATTTTTACTTAACAAAAAATTCAAAAAATTAAGCATTAATATTCATGTAAAAATGCCCGACATGCAAAAAATAAAATAAAAATAAATAAAAAAAAAAAATTTCTAGTTCGCCAGACTATTTTTTTAATACCAAGTCCTGGAGGCCCATCCGAATCCTATCTGCAAGGCCTATCTTAAGCCGTTCGACTTTTTAGTCCCTTCCTCAACCCTGTAAACAAACAATACATTAAATGGGACCCACACTTATCCTAATCACAGGGGCTTAGGGTTTACCTGGTCAAACTCACTCTCTTCTCTTTCACACACGCACAACACTATCGCGAGATAGACTCTCTCTCTCTCTCTCTCCTTCCTCTTCTAATCCTGCTCTTCCCTCTTCGTCTTCATCTTCATCTTCGTCTTTGTCGATTCACCATAGCAGACTTGTCTTCAAGTAGCCAAAGAAGAACATAGATATAAGCTTAGAGCTCTCAAACCTGCTAAGGTTTAAAGATTTGGAGGCTAGGGTTTGAGGATTCGACCCCGTGGCGCCTACCAATCCCTCCGTCACTACTATATGCGCGAATAGGCTAGCACTTGAGCCACTATTTTCCTTATTGTCTAAATCTGGAAGATTTCCAAATTCAAGTATCAAATATGAGAGTTTCTTGTTTGCTACATATGTTCGCCTATTTGTTGTCTTCGGTAAGAGTTTCTTGTTTTGCTGCCATTATTTGATCCTGTTTGCGATCATTGTGATTTTCGTTTTCTGCCTACTTTATATTCAGTATTTGCGTGTCACGATTATAATCAATTAATTTAAGGTTCCTACTTGTATTACGATTTGCTTGCCCTTGATGTTCAATTTGTAAACTTGTAGGAAAACTTTAATTTGTAGCAATAAAGGGGGAAAAAAGATTGCTTTGATTCATAGGAGTATTTGTGTTTAATTTTCATTTCGACGGGCATTTTATGATTAATGTATCGCTGATGTAGGATTATTTGATCATGTTTGTGATCGCAATGATTTTCCTTTTCTGACTACTTTATATTCAGTATTTGCGATGTCACAATTATAATAAATTAATTTCGGGTTATTATTTGTATTATGATTTGCTTGCCCTTGATGTTCAATTGTTAATTTGTAGGAAAACTTTAATTTGGAGCAATAAAGGGTAAAAAAATAAAAATATTGCTTTGATCCATGATTAATATTTTGCCTTTTCATTTTGCTGTAATTTGTTTTAATTGAAAAGGTTATTATATAAACTACATATTTATTAACATACGTATAACTTATTGTTTTAAATGATGTTATTTATTTCTTATTTAAGCAAAAGTTGTAATTTAATTAGCTGAGGTTGATTATGCAACAATTTAAAGCATGAAAATTGGACTAGCACAGCAAAGATGAGCTTCTTAATCTGACCTGAGATGCCTATGCAATAGATTGCTCCTTATTGAGTAAGCTAATGAGGTTATCCTTGTATATCAATTCAGACTACATTTTGCAGATTTAAGAAACATCTGTCAACAAAAAGTTGTAGAATGCAAAGCTCAATGCATGAGATGTTTTTTTGATAGTAATGCATGACCTATTAATTAGAAGGAAAAAAAACTTCATAAAAATGTGAGTAAATTATTGAGATCATCCTTGTATATCAATACATACAGGCATTCATGCAGCATAATTAAGAAGCATCTGTCAACAAAAGTGTGAGAATGCAGAACACATGTATGAGATATGTTTTTGATATTAATGCATGACCTATTAATGAGAAAAACTTTCTACAAATGAAATGAATCCACTATCAATGTTAACAATGATTTTGCTTTATTCATTTATGTTTTGGATTTTTTGTTTTTACTTTGAATTTTTTGATGGATATCATGGAAGTTCCTTTCTTTAAGGTCCTTGAACATGTTTTTACTTGATCTTCTTTAGACGCCTGTATGGTTTTAAGTAATGCTTCATGCCTTCAATAACATGTATCTGTTAATGCTATTTTTCATTATCTTTAAGCTCCAAATCCTAGAGGGTGGCTTTATTATTGCCTTTGCATTTCTCTTGTTGATAGATATTACGAGAAATTATTAGAGCAAATCAGGTAACATGATTGTATCTTTTTCAAGGTTCAACTACCAGAAGGATTGCCACCATTCGTGCATATTAATCAAAATGATTTCTCGGGTTGTAAGTAAGTCTTTTTCCTTAGTCATGTTTCCCTTGTTGAGGATCTTTCTTTTCCTTCTTTTTTTGAATAATATATATTCTTAATTAACTTAACAAAATTTGCGTATATATAAATGTTGTAGATAAAATCACATTGAAGATAGAATTCTGTGATTTATGGTTGCATTATTGCTGATTGATTTTTTTTACCTCTGTGACTTAAATTATGTGTATGATTCAATCCTGTAATTGTGGATATGATTTTGATTCATCCTATATATATGTGTATTATTGATGTATACAAGCTATGAAGCACGGATACTTCAAAAAGGGTGACGTATCCGTATCAGATACTTATCGGATACCGATACTCCTCGGATACTCGCGGATACGTATCGGATACTTCTTAAAAGTATCAGATACTTCTTAATTAATTTTTTATTAATTTTGAAGTATCGGATACTCGAAGTTATATATTACTTATAATATTTTGTTTAGTTCTTTGATAAGAGGAATATAGTGAGAGTTAAAGTAATAGAATTTGTCAAATTGATGTATCCTTGTTGTCTCTCTCACTTTTCTCTCGCTTTTTCACTCTCACGTTTCTTCTCTCTGCTCTCATTCTTTTTTTGGTGTTGGCATGTAAGGATGATGTTCAATTTGCATTTGCATTTGCTTTTGCTTTTAGTTTTGGATGTTTTATGGATGTTTAAGCACTTTTAGGTTAATAGGAATCCATCTCCTTATTTATTAATTTACTTTAAGTTTTATTTTCATGCATATTACATGATTAAAATTATATAAAAAAAAAAATTATGAATGTATCCCCGCTGTACCCGTATCGTACTTTTTTAAATTTTGACATATCGCCATATCCACATCCCCATATCACTATATTCGTATCCGTGCTTCCTAGGCTATCATTGATGACTTAAAAAAGTATATTTGCTGAAATTTTTATTTAAGAATGGTTTTTTGGCTTTAGCTAAGGTCTTGTGATATTCAATGATGAAGGGGAACAAGTTGAAGCTATTGACCTTGAAGACTCTTAGTTTTATAGGAATCTTTCTTCTTTATCAAGTTGTCTTTTGCTTTACGTTTTATTTTTATGCATACTGCATTACTAAAAATTGTTAAAATAATATTTTTTACGAACGTATCCCCGCCGTACCCGTATCCTAGTTTTTCAAATTTTGTCGTATCGCCGTATCCGTATCGTATCGTATCTGTATCCCGTATCCGTATCCATGCTTTACCATAGTGTAAATGAAAGATGTAGACTATAGTGGCTTTGTGTGTGGAAGTAGGCCAATCTTGACTAACCACACTAATTTTTTGCTTTCTAACTTTCTCATTCTAAAATTTAACATGGTTCAGAGCAATTGATCCGTGCTGCTGTGGTGTTCCAGCAGCTTTTGCTTCATGAACTATATTGCTAGTCCTTGTTGTCCATCCAATCTCCAACTCAGCTAATGTATTTTGGTACCAAAAATTTCTTGTTCTAGTAAGCAGTTGTCTCTATTAGAACTTTCTTGGTATTAGTTTTCTTCTTCCTCCCTGGGATTTTCACAATCTGATAAGTCATGTAGGTTTTCAATTGTGTTTCACACCTTCCAAATTTGCCTTCAAGAGCTTTGGCCCTTTCTCCATCCAAGTTTTTAAACAAACAAACAAAAAAGAAAAAAATATATAGTAACAGGAACTATCTCCAATATGTTAGCAGGAGTCAACAGTAAAACCAGTGTGGCTGAGAAGACCCACCAGGCAAAGAATAAGCCAAAGTTTGGCAATAAATTGCCCAAGAATGGTGGCACCATGATCAGGTTATTTTCCCTTAGAAATATTTTTTGCAGTAAGGGTGCGCCACCATTGGTAAAGTGGAGAAATGGTGGGTTTACCAGAAGAGGATCTTTTTCTCTAATACAATGTTAAATTTAGAGTATGAATGAAAATAAACAAGAAACAATAACATAAATGGAAGAACAAAAACATAAAGGGTTAATGTGGTTCAGCCAATCTTGGCCTCCATTCACACACAAGGCCGCTATAGACTACATCTTTCATTCACTCTTGGATTATCTTTGATTACATGAAAACACCCATATATATGGAGTGAGAGACAACATAGATAATAGTCAACTTATACTGAAGTGGTTTTCGGGTGACGGGGGAGTAAACCATGTTTTCGGCATTGAATGAATGCGGCCCACGCCGGCAGATTTTGTTTCTTGGTGATCGATCTTTTGAGTTTGAGGAGGTTTCAGTGGAAGCGTCTAGATGCTGCGGTGTGTCGATTGTGGAGAGGGGTGCGGGGCTTCGTCAGGCTGTGGTGGTGTATGGTCATGACGTGCGTTGGATGGTGGCGCGAATGCGGTTTGCTTCGCAGGATCCAGGTAACTTATAGTTTTTGGGTCAGCTCACTGGGGGTAGTAGGACTGTGGCGGTATGGGTTCGTAGCGAAGAGAGTGGTGGTTCGTCCTTTCAAATAGTGGTGACGGCAGGGAAGAGGAGAGCAAATCTTCATTCCCCTATCCGATTTTGGGGATGGGTGGGAAGGAGTGGCCTTGGTCCTTGAAGGTTTTGGGTTGCATAATGGTGGTCCAATGCAGGGTAAGGAAGGGTCCAGACCTCGTCCATCGCTATCCACCATAGAGGGAGTGACTGACGGGGTTAAGGCAGTACGGAGTGCAACGGAGGTGGAATGGTTCCGTATGTTGGATAGGTCGCTTGTTGGTAGAGTGGGAGAGATGGGTGGCAAGGGGATGAGCTTTGCTGCAATGTCTGATTGGGTAAATCGTTGGTGGAAGACATCGGGAAAGAGGTGCGTCCGTTAGGCAGCCATGCCTTCCTCTTTGTTTTGTCAAGCAGACATGAGGCAGAGGTGTTGCTGCAACGACGGTGGATTGCTGATGGGAGGGATCTCCAGTTGGAATGGTGGTCGCCTTTAGCACTTTGTACGTCGAAAGCTACAACCTTGCCGGCGAAGAGTGTTTGGATTCGGGTGATGGGGGTGCCAATCCACCTTCGCGGGGAAGATGTTTACCGTGCCATTGGTGATCAGTGTGGTGGTTATGTGGAAGCAGATGAATCCTCTGTGGATCTAGGCTATGTTCGGCTGCGAATTAGAAGCTCTCATGGCATACTGTAGAAAATTTAATCTATAAAGAGAAATAGAGAATTGTATTATTGATTGATATTAATGTTATGGTTACAATGATTCCTATATATAGGAGAGGGTGAGTGTGTAGTAGGTGAGGAGTAGGTGAAGTGGAGGTGGTAGTGGTGTAGTGGGTTAGGTTTAGTGGAGTAGGTTTAAGTGGGTGAAGGTTGGTGAGGTGAGGTGGATTTTAACAGCCCCCCGCAAACTCAAGGGGCATAGGAACTAACCAACTTGAGTTTGGAGAGAGTAACAAAACAAGAAAATACATAAAAATAAAAGAGGATAAGAGACACTGTATGGTCGTGTCAGATCATTGGTGAAGACAATGGATGGTGGTGTCATAACGTTGTAGAGGACACTGTATGGGGGTGTCATAACCATGTAGAGGACACTGTATGGTGGTGTCATAACGGTGTAGAAGACACTGGATGATTGTGTCAGACCAATGTAGAAGACACATACTGACGCGTGTGGTCGTCAGATGGGGTCTGTGGCAGTTTTCTTTACCTGTTTGGGTGGAGGAGGGACCTTCGGTGGAACCGGCGGTGCCGGAGATGGTGCGCGGTGGAGGAGGGGGAACGGATAAGGATGGGCGAGATTTGTTGCAATTAGCTCGAAGAAAATGGCGAAATTTGGGGGTCAATGAATATCTGCAAAGATTTGGGCTGACAAATGGGGATAAGGGTGGGCGGGGTTATTTATTTGAATTGACCCTCATGGGCTTGGGTTAGGATTTAAATTGGGGTAATCAAAGGGGACATTTGGGCTTTGCTAAGGTCCAAGCTAAAAGAAATGTGGGTCTGCCCAAACCGAAATGGGCCAAACATCAAAGGGTTAATCGAAGTGGGCCATCTCAAGGTGTCTTATTTAGTCTAAGGAGGGATGAGGGGCCTCAATCTGTGGAAGCCCATGCAAACCCAGTTCTCAGTCGGGTTTTCTCTTCGCTGAAAGCTGGGTTAGGTCCAAGACCAGATGACGGGTCTTCGCCGGTGGTGCATGACTCGATGGGTATTGCCGAGAGGATGCCCACTGGTCCACCGCCGTTGTTTAGTGGCGTTGTTGATGTTCCTTTAGATTTAGAGGGAGTGGAGCTGCACAGTCGGGTTTTCTCTTCGCTGAAAGCCGGGTTAGGTCCAAGACCAGATGACAGGTCTTCGCCGGTGGTGAGTGCCTCGATGGGTAATGCCGAGACGGTGCCGACTGGTCCACCGCCGTCGTCTGGTGGTGTTGTTGATGTTCTTTCAGATTTAGAGGGCATGGAGCGGCATGTTGACGAGGTGACGGAGCAGCGGCCTAGTACAGTCGGGTTTTCGGAATCGCAACTGCAGCAACCTGTAGGTGATGAAAATCGTTGGTCTGATATGATGGATGAGTTGGCCATGGTGGTTAGGCTTGAGGCAGGTTCGGATGAGGTGGCTGTGGAGAATGTTGTGAATGAGGAGAATGGTTCGGATGAGGTTGAGCTTGAGAGTGTTACTGTTGGTTCAGATGTTGATATACCGGTGCCAGAGGAGGTTTCTGCTTGGGTTTTGTCTCGAATTAATGAGGTAAGCCAATTACTGGGGGTTTCTTTTGAGGGCCATGAAGAAGAAACATTGAGACTATTTTCGGCATTAGAGGAATCTTGGAGAGGTGAGGCTCCTCTTCAGCAAGGGATGGATTCGACTAGCCATAATGTCAAAAATGCTAGGGAATTATGTAGGTTGGAATGTACTGTTAATTATGACCGGACTCGGGGAGGTGGAGTGCGATGTACCAAACGAGGACGTGATCAGCCATTGTTGTTGTCATGTGGTTAAAAAATTTGTCTTGGAATGTGCGAGGATTGAATGACAAGGGGAAGTGGGTTTTGGTGAAATCCGTCC